AAAATGAGAAGTGTACTTGACTTTACATGCCAAGCGTGATATTTAGTACAATTTCTCATCATATGTCCCAGATTTTCACAAAAGTAACAGTTAGATGATTTATCCTTTCCAAGCGTTTGCTATTTCTTTTGAACCAAACCGAATGCAGCTTTATTACTCTTTAACTTGTCCTTAGAGCTACTTGCCAAGTGAGTATTTTCAGTCCTCTCTTGCTTTAAACTTTTTCTTCTTGCACATATTAAATGAGCTCATTAAAACTCCACTTCTCCTTTTGATCGTTGCAACTAACCTTAAATTAACTGAATTGTGTAGGAAGAAAAATTAAAACCATATGCATGAACAAGTCATTAGATAGATTAAACTTTAATGCCATTGATTTTGAAGCAAGACGAGATACATCCATGATTTACTCCCGCATATTTTCCTTAGCATTATAGTTTAGTGAAACCTAGTTTACTAGTAGTGTAATAGTTTTGACCTTATCACTTTTTTGTAAAGCGATTTAGAATATTTATTTTAGAAATTTCTTGACAGTACCTTATTGGACAAAGTGCCCCTAAATGTTGTTAGAATTTTATGCTTCATGATCATAAGACTTATGCAATTTGAACGATTTATTAGTGGAACGCTTATTCGTAAGAGTAGTGGGTTATTCAATCCTTAACGTAAGGTCTAGATCCATGCCATAAAAAGTGATACAAACGTTCTCTTTTTAGCCCTTAAACTTTGGTTCATGCACAGGAATTTAATTGATATTGACAGATATTGCAGAAGTGGATGTATTAATCGAATAGAGAACCTAAACTTTAATAACTCAATCAATAATTCAAACAGTGGTGGGCCCCATCACAAGAAATCGAGTACAATATTGATATTTAGTCTTTGAATAGAAATATCAACTTATAAGTAGTACTCTTGGTACAGCATCAAATATTGACAATAAATTCGATCAAACATCAAGTTTATCTTTGAAGTGACTCAATGTTCACATAATAAAAAATTTTATAATTGTCACATATTTATTACCACAGATGTGTAAATAGTTTTGCCAAATATTGATCTTCTTTTGGAACGGTGAATATCCGCATGAATTACGTACACATCACCTTCCTAATATTCCAAATAAATTAATTTAAGCAAGAGAGGTTACTTTGATAATATGTTGTTATAACTAATTTAGTTTAGAAAATTACTAATTTGAAAGAAACTTTAAATACCAAGATCTAAAATTCAATATATATATATATATATTATTTTTTTATTTTTCTCTTTGTGTCCAAAAGAGAAAAAAGTTACACAGAAAATCGGTGCTACCTCTGGTCGTATTGCCTCATAGCAGCCGCCTAACGTTGTAGCACTAGGACGCGACGACTGCTGTTTTGAACTAAAATTTTTGAGAAAATCCCAAAAAAATATGAATTTTGAGGTTTACGGTTAAAATTTATATCTTATATTGGAGAATCTAAATTATAAACTTTTAACCCTAAAATTCTATCTTGAAAAATTCTGAATTTCGAAATTTATGGCTAAAATTCATATTTCAAATTAAAAGATTCTAAAAAACTCAATGTATGAATTTCAACAAAAAAAATTCCTTTAATCCCAATAGTTTAACATGGAGTCAACTCTGATACCACTTGTTGAAATTTTATGAAACATTAAATTTTAATAATTTGAAAATCTAATTACTTATTGTCAAGATCTTTCATGTCAAATTATCAAGAAAATTAATAATGCGGAACATATCTTAACTCTTTAAGAATCATTCTTGATTATCGGATCTTGATTTTGAATCTTGAATCTTGAAAGTCAACTTGAAATCCTTTCTTGATTGGTTTATTGATTTCAATCTTGATTGCCTTGTTTGATTCTTTAATTCTTGTTCTTGATTTTCTTTTTGATCTATAATTTTGATTCTTGAATTTCTTCATCTTGATTCTTGATTGTAGATTGTATTTTCTTGATTGTGAATTTTTAGATCTTCTTCTTCAAAATGCATTCTCTCCAAATTCTTGTGTTGATGGGATGACATAAAGAATAAGAAGTTACATATGAATTGAGGACCATAACCCTATATATGTAGTTCTCATATATATTTTGCCGATCATGAAATACAATTTTAAAAGAATTTGGTTTCTGCATATATAATTCGCTCCACATTTTATTTAAATTCACTAAATACAATTACTTAATTATTTATTAGATCACTTTAATTTTGGGCTTAACTGTAAAATAGCATTTTTATAAAATTAATTACATACATTGGCTCACATGACAAATTAATAATTTCACAGCATAGTATAGAAGCAAGATAAAATTTAGAGTGCTTAATAATAAAATTATCAGTTTTGATGAGTAATTTAATTTAAAAACTTTTAGCTATAAATCAATTAAATCGCCGTTCTCTTAAATGGTGCATAATTTCATTAAAATGTAAGGTAAATCAAAGTTTCAAGATGGTGAATATATGTCATTTAAATTTTCTTTCAATAAATTTTACGAATTTATAAAATTAATCTTAAAAACTTGCCTTTAGGGATTCAACAAAAAATACAGTACTAGTCGTTGAAAACAATCACAGTACTAGTAGTTGAAATTATTGCAGTATGATAAGTGTATTTTATACACTTATTCAATGCTTTAAAATGATGATATTTAGTTGCTTCTTGGATAAATTATGGTCTAAATCGTTGTATTTGGTGTTGAATAGGTAAAATTCAATGATGATACAAGAAATTGAAAGAAAGATTAGTAGGCAAAGTTGTAAGAGATCCAAAGATCAAGGACTAAAGTGTAAATATCAAAAAGTTGTGTCCGACCTCATGATGAAGATTCAGGAGTGCTCGGAGTCAATTGGATAAAGAAAGATATCAAAGGGATTAAATAAAATCAAAGTATGATCACACATCAAGTTTCAACCGAAAAAAAGTTATACACCGTTTTCAGCCTCATATTAGGACCCGATTTTGATATAGAAAATGATATCTAAAGAAAAGTTGTATCCTTTTGGTTAGCTTTACAATGCATCTTGAATCACCACAATCGAACATCAAGAAAGAAAGTTATAATAAAAATACTAAACGATGTGTTGTTTGTCCGAAAGGTGGCGCCGCAACGCCACTATCACGGCGACGAGGCGCCGCTGGGTGCGTTTGGGGCGCATTTTTGGCTCATTTTGAAATCCATAAAAATCCTACTTTCTACACACACTATGAGGCACCTATAAATACAAATTCCTCACACTTTTGAAAGGTGATTCCACATATTAAGAGGTAAGAACACAATTTGAGAATTAGAGAGCAAATTCAAAAGGAGAAAAATATCAATTCAAGGGTTAGAAATCAAGATTTGAAACGAGAAGAAGAACTTGGTGCAAGATTCATCCACTTCCCCACATCTAAATTCAAAATCCGGTGATGGACTCCACTATTTTCATTTATTTTTTTCCTCTATCATGAATAGCTAAATCTTGTTAAGGTGAATAATGTAACCTATGTGGGACCATTTACATATTTTATTTAAGATTCTTGGTCTTTATTGTTCCATTTATTGATTTTATTATGGACTCAATGCATTAAAATATTTGATCACTAATTTGATGATTTTGTGAATTCTTTACGAATAAAGATATGAGTTTAGGATTTAGACCATGTAGTAAAATTCGATAAATTAGTATAATGAATAAATATACTTATATTAATTATTGCGGTCATAATGGAATTCTTAAGACAAATAACTCGTTTAACTAAGCTAGATTTGCATAGAGATATGAAATTGAATTAGTTAAACAAACTCAATGAGAACTTGAAATGAGTAAATTGAATACAATAAGAGAATTTGATCGAACACTACATAATATATGAATCCTGGTTTAAAATGGAAAGGTGATCAGTATGTGAAATTATTCTGCCTTAATATTTGTTCTTTATTTAAGTTCTAAATCACTCTTTGTATACATCCACATATTTTCAAATAGTTCTATCAAAAATCACAACATCGAATTCTTTGTTTATTTTCAATCAAATTAAAGTTAGGAATAATTGAACCAATTGCTAAATAGTGGTCTTCGTGAGAACGATATCTGGACTCAGGGGCAGACCTAGGGGGTCCCATAGGGTCGCTTGACTCTTTAGTTTTTTCAATTTTTTTGTTTTAGTTTTTGGGCTCACTATGGAATATCAAATGAAATTGAAATACTACATTCTTAATATCATTTTGAAATACTCACGGCCTAATATTTCACGTCGTTAATGGTGTGCGAAATGGTTAATCGTAGAAAATGTTACTACACGTCAAAGTAGACCGTTTCAAACTAATATTTCGAGAATTTCGATAACAACCTAACTTAAAAAATTATTCAACGATTATACGCTAGTCGTATCCATAAATCTTCTATATCCTCTCGAAGCTCACTTCGAGAACTATATCGTATACATATCGAATGATCTAAATAAATATACGTACGTCAAACATGTATGTCAAAAAGATACGCGTAACTCATCTTTTTTGAAAAAAAATCAATTATTTTATTAATGTTTATTATTTTTGCGTGAAAAAATTCTCAATATAATTTACATCATTTTATTAGAAAATTTTATACGTGGTATGACATCAAATTTTTTTTTTGACGTAAAAATTCTTAATAAAATTTTTATTACTTCATGGGGGTTATAAATTGTTATACTATTTTTTCGTCTTAATTATTTTTATATTTGAAAAAAATTTATATATATAAAAAATTCAATCATTTTTGACTTCATTTGAAAAAAATTAATTGATCGAGAGAAAAAAATAACAATAATAAAAAAAATCCTAAAACTGATCCAATATATTTTTTATATATAAATTTTTTTTAGATGAAAAAGTAGTATCAATTTATAATCCGTAATAAAAAAGTTTTTGTAACTTTTATTAAAAGTTTGATTGATGTAAAATATTGTCCGTCCTTGTCCGAACACGTCCACTTTATTACCTGTTACCATCGGTGGACCTGCGCAAATAAAATTCACAGCACAGTACGTGCCCATACCGATGACATATCTTATCAACTCCACCTTCTGGATTTGTATGCTCTTCGAGCTGGGTTGATCACTTTCTCAGGTAAATTTTACTTCGATTCTCATTTTTCTTTACAAATTTCTGTTCGAGAGTAGTTTTTAGTAAATTAGTAGTTTAATTCCTGTGATCAGTAGACATTACTTTTCTGGGTGGGATTATTATCTTGATCCACTGTCTTTCTGTTTCTTGAAGCACTTGTTTGTATTCGATTTTTTACTATATTGGAAGCCCGGTGTTCATTCCTGATGGATTTTATTGTAATTATGAAACAAATAACTTGAAAATAAAGACTTTTTTTTTTCTAATTATTTTATCCCTTTGAAAGTAATTGAGAAATAAGTAGCTTGCTAGTAGATTTGTTGGCCCAGGCCATGCATCCACACACTAATCTGTACTCTATGGAAAGGCATATGTGCAGAGCCATGCTTGGTTGCAATTTGGGACGTATGTTCTAGGTCGCAAAGTTACATTTTATAATCAATCTTATGCTAGTGTCTGTCAATTGCAACTTTTTTTTTTCTAATTATTTTATCCCTTTGAAAGTAATTGAGAAATAAGTAGCTTGCTAGTAGATTTGTTGGCCCAGGCCATGCATCCACACACTAATCTGTACTCTATGGAAAGGCATATGTGCAGAGCCATGCTTGGTTGCAATTTGGGACGTATGTTCTAGGTCGCAAAGTTACATTTTATAATCAATCTTATGCTAGTGTCTGTCAATTGCAATAGGCACATTTACGGCATAAAGTTCGTTCTTGGAAAGTTTATACTGTTGGTAAAAATGAGTAAATGGCTTACTTTTGGCAAGATTTTCGGTGGGACCAATTGGTCCAATTTGGAAGATCAAAGTTGATCCGTCTTTTCCTCCGTGAGAGCATCAAAACCATATATTTACTTGCCAAAATTGATGAATGGATGAATAAGAAATTGGAGCTCAAAGATGACTATTGGAAGATGATTTATGTAGGAAAAATGTGTTTATCCCATATAGAAAAATATAAAAGCAATAATCACTTTAAATATGGTTGCACATTGAAAGGGTGTAATCATATGTAGCATAGAGGCTCTCTCCACATGCGCGCGCAGGGTTGCAAATCACAAATCGAAATAGCCTTCAGACCTTGAACTTGTGTACGGGCACGACCTGCGTACACGAATGTCGGACCGAATGAAGCAAAAATTGGCCCGTTTGGAGTGTCCACGTTTTGCAATTTTTTTGCTTTCTCCAATTGACCTTTGAGTTTTTTGAAACTGTCAAAACTCCCAGAAATTGAAGCAACTCCAGTGTTTATTGCTATGGAGTTAATATGCAGATTTAAACTTATATAAAAGGTCATTTTTCCAGCAGCTTCAACACATATAGAAACACACGAAAATAGGAAAAAAACACTGCAATTTTTTTTGCCTGCATCTCGGTTTCTATTCAACGTCGTCATTGTGATAATATTGTTCGAATATTAGTCAGTTCACCGGAGTAGTATCTGTGGTGCTCAAATTCTATGGATTTTATCGTTGTATCCTAGAAAACAGACGCTCGGATTAGACCTCAAGCACTTACGGTGAGGGGGCGAATCTGTTTTAAGGAAACAGTGCTCGCAAAAGCCTCAGGTTGAAGATTTATTTATTTTCTGCAATTCACATATTTGCGATTTATTTATTTAGCGATTTACATATTTGCAATTTAATCTTATACTTCGTAAATTTTCCAATTTATTTTGTTATATGTACTTCATATAATTTTATAGTTTATTATCTGTATGTCTGAAAAAAAATCTGAAGAAAATTAATTAATTTAATAACATTTGGTTTGGTAGTTGTCCAACCAGTAGTTTTTTGACTAATATATGCAAATACGGTATTTCTACATTTTGGTGTATGTAAGTGCATATCCGGTATGTTAGTTGCATATGCGGTATTTAGAAAATATGTGTAAAATCACTCACTGTACATGAAATGGGTTAAAGACAGTTTGTGCAAATTCTGTACAAATACGTTTAGCTTTCTGCAAATACGGTAGACAGCATATACGATAAGGTGCATATACGGTAAGTTGTCAGCAAATACGGTAAGCTACCTGCAAATACGTTAACCTGCATATGCAGCATGCTTAAAACCAGTATCTAAACTACACATACGATATGTGATAATCCGATTTCATTAACACCACAATATTCCAACAAATACAGTCACGTGTTTTAGGATAAATGGCATCTGAACCTGTCAATGTGAGTGAATTTCAAGAACTTGCAAGGCAAGCCCTTCCCAAAATGTACTACGACTTCTATGCTGGGGGAGCCGAAGACCAGCAAACGCTTGAAGAGAATGTCAAAGCATTTCATAGGATCATGTAAGTTCTACTACCTGTTAGTGTTAGGATTGATTAACGAACAATAGTATTACACTTTAAACATGTTTTTGTAAAACTCAGAATTCGTCCGAGAATTCTGGTTGATGTGAGCAGAGTAGATATGTCAACAACTATTATGGGTTACAACACATCGGCCCCCATCATGGTTGCCCCAACTGCCTTGCACAAATTGGCACACCCTGAAGGTTCATTTATACCTACTTATAACAGTATTTGATTGAATATTAAAGCTAGATTCAAACTTTGAGATTCTATTTATTATAGGAGAAGTTGCAACAGCCAGAGCAGCTGCTGCCTGTGGCACCATAATGGTATACCTAAAAGAAGTCTTAGCATATTTTGACATTCAGGCGTACTCAAATTTTAATAATAGCCTTAAACTGTAGGCATTGTCCTTCACGTCAATGTGCACGGTGGAGGAGGTTGCTTCCAGCTGCAATGCTGTTCGCTTCTTCCAATTATATGTATCACTCCATGCTCTTGATTTTGAGAATTATTCATCTGAATTCACATTTCTGGCTGATTTAACAAATTTGGCATCTCTCTGGCAAGGTGTACAAAAAGCGTGAAATATCAGCTCTGATGGTGCAAAGAGCTGAAAGAAATGGGTTCAAGGCTATAATTCTTACTGCTGATACTCCTAGACTTGGTCGTAGGGAGGCAGACATTAAGAATAAGTGAAATTCGATTCCTTTTCCTTTTGGAATTTACTGTTATTATTCTTTTCACTTGTATGGAAGAATAGTTTCATACATTTCCCTGCTATACTTGCTTAGTAATACATGATAACTTCTGCAGGATGATTTCACCTCAATTGAAGAATTTGGAAGGTTTGGTTTCAACAGAAGTTCATACTGTGAGTGAAATGGAATATTCTATTTTTTTGTTGTTGAACAGAATCAACTAGAGAGAATTACCAATCTTTGTGGCATAAATGAAGAGATGAACAACTATTTTTTTAATTTATGGAGATTTGGACAATGACATTCTCATGCTTCGAGGAACTTCATCAAGAAAATTCCCATTAAGAATAATGATAAACCTTTTATAATGTCTACGAGAATGGGACTGAAGTGTTATGGCATGGAGATAATTCCTAAATGGAAGGATAAAACTTTTCTAATAATGATAAGATTTAGAAGATAAACTAGAAAGAACTTATTGACAACGAAAACAAGAAAAATCATTTAATTAACTAGGCAAGTATTGAAAAGGGACGATTTGAACTATTAGGCTTGTTCAAACTTTCCGTATGCACAGAATATGGGTGTGGGTGTGTGAATACATATATATTTTTTTAATGGGATTAGCTTGATGGAGTAATTTTTATTTATTAATGTATATGCAGGATAAGGGTTCAAATATGGAAGCCTTTGCATCAAGAACTTTAGATGCTTCATTGTGCTGGAAGGTATTAACTAGGAATATTATTCTTATGAGCTATATATCTTGACACGGAAAAATTAGCATGGAAACTGTAATTCCTGATCTTGATTTGCTATTTTCATTTTTCTGCAAATGGCATGTAAGAGGAAGTTATGAATTCCCAGCTAGACAAGTATCCATGTCAATCAAATTATAATTTTTGTGGCTCAAAAACATATGAAAGAACACTTATATCATGTTCTTGTTTTATTTCATCAAGATTAATGTAGAATTCATCAAAATCACATCGTCATAATATTTTTGCAGGACATTGGATGGTTGAAATCCATTACAAGCTTACCTATTCTGATTAAGGGAATTCTCACTCGTGAAGACGGTAGGGCTATGTGTAAAACATCTTTAATTATTATGAATGTAACGTCTCTACAGATATAAAACATTTGGTAATGTGTGAAGCAATAAAAGTATTTTGAAGTAGAAAAGCAGTTGGCCTCTTTTGTCCAACTATTGTTTTTATTGAACTTTAATCTAAATTCTTGCTACTGAATTCATATCTTGTCTGCTAATGTGTGAAGCAATAAAAGCCGTGGAAGTAGGTGTTGCGGGAATTGTTGTTTCCAATCATGGAGCACGCCAGCTAGATTATAGTCCCGCCACAATCACTGTTCTGGAAGAGGTAATTCTCTGTTCTCCACTTACACTGTCAACTGGAGATTGATCTATTATTACTTAGATTTTATAATGCCTTATGTGATATTGCCTTTTGGAACTCTTAATCAATTTGATTTGATTGAGTTTACGTTGCTTAATTGCAGCACTTTAGTCTACATGATAGTCTTTTGGGGTTAAAACATCGTCGTTTTTATAAATCATATGGTTGCAGGTGATTCTTGCTGTTCGAGGGAGAATTCCAGTTCTTTTTGATGGAGGAGTGAGGCGGGGAACAGATATTTTCAAGGCCCTAGCTCTTGGAGCACGAGCTGTTATGGTAAACTTATTATACTATTATCCAAGTTACATTTAAAGGTTCGACCATACCAGATTAATGACTATAATTTCATTTTACATGCAGATTGGACGGCCAATTATATATGGGTTGGCAGCAAAGGGAGAAGATGGGGTGAGACGAGTACTCAGTATGCTGAAGGATGAACTTGAGCTCACTATGGCCTTATCAGGCTGCTGTAGTGTGAAGGACATAACGAGACGCCATGTGATGACTGAACAAGACAGACTCCACTGCAGACTCTAATCTATCATAACAGCATTGTGGCAAACATGCCCTTAAGATTATCTGTCTCTTTTAATTCTAACGTTTGTGCCCTTAAATTGCATGGACATTTTACCTGCTATTGCTTGTATTTTATTGATACCAATTCTGGGAATCATGACATCTAGTCTCGAATCAGAAATTGAATAATTATTTAATTACCAATTCATGAATGTACGGTTTCTTAAATAATCATAAAAAGAAATTAAGAAAATTTTTCAAACCATGATTTTCAAATAAGCATAGCCAACCTTGCTGATTTTTTATTCAAATTTCTGGTTTTGTTAACAGTTAAGTCGATTAACAAAGCACGAGTTATAGACGACCTTTCTTCAACAGGATCTGTAACGATACTGCTTATGGGCAACAAATTAAACATTCATTAAAAGCAAATCCAAATAGCAATAGTTAAACATCCCAGTACAAACATGAAAGAAGGCAGTCTTTGCTCTACAACAGTACTAAAAAATGGGAATATCACCAACCAGCTTAATGTTAAAGAAAAAGATCGTGTACTTCTACCCATAACAGACTGTTTCATGCATGGATTATTCTGTAACAGGCGTACGCAAGGAAATTTAACTGTTTAGTTCATGCTCTGAAACCTGTGTCCAAATACTTTATTTCCAATATATATAAATTTCCTTGGTCTAAACACCATCCAATTGCCAGACAAAATCACCACAGGGGGAAGTGGGACAAGAGAGATGATATATGGCACCTGAGAAGATGAAGATCAAGTTGTTCATAATAACTATGCATTACCAACAGAGTTATTTTTATTGACACCTTGCAACTCCATGGAAGAATTGGCGATACTACCTACGGAACCCATGGTTTGTGAGCTCACCTGAGGACTTGCTGGACAAGTTTCTGAATTACCTGCACTAATTGGATGTATAGCCCCTGAACTAAGTTGTGGGCTTATTTGAGTTCTCTGGCTTATTTGTTGGGGACTGGCCTCCTGTTGTTGCTGCTGCTGCTGATTTTGATTCATATGATGGGGAATTCCCATGCTTGATGGCGAACCCACCTGTGGAGGTGAAAGAACAGCCTGCAGTGGTGATGTCGATTCCTGCTGCTGCTGCTGCTGTAATTGCTGGTTTTGCTGCTGCTGTATTTGCATCTGTTGCAACTGTAACTGCTGCTGTTGCTGCTGGTGCTGTTGCTGTTGTAGCTGCTGGTTCGTGTAAAGATTCATCCCTTGAATCATCTTTGGTGGACCCATTGCCCCCACAGCTGTGCGCTGTATCTGACTGATATTAGCTCGATTCAGAGAAGGGCCCAGCATTGAAAGACCAGAAGATCCTGGGTTCATCTGTCGACCTCCAGCCATACCACCGATGCTTGCTTGCGGGCCCAACATATTTGATCTGTTTCGATCTGATCTCAGATTTGCGACAAAAGCAGCTTGTGCTGGCGTTAGCGTCCCGGAACGTAGTGCATTGCTAAGATGTGAAGCCTGGGCCAGATTCATTTGGTTCTGCGTCATGTTACCTGTGTTTGAAAGAGACCCCATTGGTGAAGAAATTCCAGATCCACCCACTCCCCTGATGCCCCTCATACCCATGACATTGTTCAAACTTCCAAGCCCAACCATGTTATTGCCAATGTTGCCCATACCTACAGTTCCAAGGCCACCAATAATTTTTCTCTGCATTTGTGGATGCTGTTGCTGCTGTGGTTGCAGCTGTTGTTGTTGTTGCTGCTGCTGCATCAGCTGAAGTTGGAGAGACGAGGATTTATTTGCCATATTAGCACCCAACTGCATGTTTGCATTCTGCCCGATAGTGTTCAAATGTGGCATAGAATTTGGGGAGAACATCATAGGTGATCTTTGGTACTGGAGATTCTGCTGTTGCATCAAGGACTGCTGATGTGGTGGTGGTGGTGATGGTTGCTGCTGCAGAGATGGCTGTAATTCAGGTTGTTGAGGCCTGGATGTCATTGAAACCCCTGGCAAGAGTCCTTGAGAGATTTGCATCACCTGAGCATTTCCAGGAGGTGACACCATTGGTGGGCCTTGTATATTCTGAGATGAGCTAACTAATAGATTCCCACTATTACTTGTTTTGGCAATGTCATTGGATGGGAGGCTAGAAACTCCATCAGAATATTGCTGCATCTCCACTGGAGTGCTACCTGTTTCCCGAACATTAAGTTGACTGGTCGAAGCTTGATTAATGCGTACTGGTTTTGGTTGAACATGATCTTGAGGATGATATCCTTCACGTATCATCTGCAAAGGCAAATATCAATAATTGAGTCTTATCCAACTCAAATGCTCATTAATAAATAATAAAAGACTAACAAAACATACCAGTAAACAGAACTGTTCAGCAAGTAGGTCCGCAATGTGCTGCAGGAATTACAAGGCATGTGTCAGAGCCAAAAATATACATTACTGAAAAGGATCAACAATATATGGAAAAGACGAGCCTTTCTATGGCAAGATAGAATAAGAAACTTCATGTCAAGAATCATGCCACCCATCCTTCTGGAATTTGTTGAGATTGAGCCAATCTATCTAGATCTTAAGGCTATGTTTAGTATGAAAGGAACCGGTTGAAAGTCCGGTTATTAAATTTCCAATTGCAAAAGGAGGAAATATATCTTCCCTCACTTGTTTCCTATGGCTGGGAAAAAATGGAAATGGTTCAATATTTTAGCATGTTTTGTTTATAAATTTTATTTAAACATTTGCCACATGTTGCTTGCAATAAATATGAAAATTCACTTTCAATCCCTCCCAGAATTTCCCACCAAGCCTCCAAGCAAACAAGGGAAGGTCGATCTTCCTTCCACATTCCTGTCATCCTTTTCCATTCCACTCAACTTCCCTCCACCAAAAATAGCCTTAACACTGACAAGAAGATCTTTAAAGAATAGGATATATATATATATATATCCCTTGAATTTTCCCCGTGTGCACATGAGTTTTAAGTTAACAAGCATCCGGGTGCCCTTCTCTCCATCCATTGACTTCTACTAAAGTTGCCAGCTTGTTTTATGTCAGTTCTGAAGGGAGAACCTTGCTGCATGTTATATATATCCATGCAAAACCTACCAAGGAATATAATCTACTATACTTCTTTACTATGGGTTCACAAGAGAGGCTTCCCCCCAAAAACCGACCCAAGGTATATGATGTGTATGTGTGGGTTTTCCCTCCCCATTTGTTACCACTAAAGTCGCAAGCCTGTTGTAGTTGGTACTAGAGGGCAAACACCTCTTTTTACTGGCTACATATCCCCACTAGACCTGCCAAAATATTTGTACCATTATAATTGTTTTCTTTGGATCAGCCCCTCCCTCCCTCTATGTGCCTGCGTGCATGTCAAAAGGAGAAGAATTTCTGACATTGAATCCAAAATAAGTGGAGGCGGCAATGCTTATATGTTTGACCTATATGAAACGATTAAATTGTCTGGAACACAATCTGTTCTGTGAACCAAAAGAAACAATCATGTAGACAAACTCACAGTATTTGGCAATGTTGGAAGGTGATCCTCTGCAGCCAAATATTCAGCATCCTCTATTTCCCCGATATGAATTGCCACAGAACCATCATTCGGCTTCTCTGACATGATCATCCTAGTCCGTGCCTTTGGAACGAGTTGAAAACCATTACCTGACAGACACAGTGAAAGGATCAGTTTGTCATCAACAAATACTGCCTAACTAAGAATTTGCAGTCAACAAACCTTGAAGAATGCGCTCTGTCTGCACGAAGTTTAAGATCCTTGTCTTGGGAACATTCATGTTACCACCTACAAGGGACCTTGATAATGGCATTTTACACATTTCATCTTTCAAATTCTCGTTGTTTGAATCATTGGAAAGATGAAGTGCCAGCTGTTGAGCAGAATACGTTTGTGGTTTCCTAATAGGATACTGATCAACCTTGTTCTTTTTGCTGTTAAGTTGATACCTGAAACAGAAAAATAAAATAAAATGAGCAATCAAGAAACAAGAGCCTGTTCAGCATGATATTCAAGGAACAAATCAAGACAAACCAACATTTTATGATAAATTATTCTTCTTCTTACACAGTTCTACTTGGGAACTTCTCACAACAGGCAATGTTAAAGTTATACTAATTATATGTGAGGAGCTATTTAATGTTCTACTCCTTGCACTACACAGAAGCCTAATTGGTTTAGGCTCTTTTAAATTACTTTGATCATATAATTGACATGTCAGAACCCATCAACTAAGTCTTCAAGCTTTATGCATACTAGATTTGTAAGTAGTTGAGCTTTGACAACAGATATAAGGAGAGCAAAAGAGATGCATTTATCCAATATATGTGGTACAAGTCTAAAAATGATGGCAGCCTGATTGACAGGAATACCTCGAAGTCACCATTTTAATCTTCGAGAACCTTTCCATCATGGGTTGCTCAGCCAACTGATTTCCAACAGGACTGTTTGCATTGACCATCGCATTCATATTACTAACACTAGCTGGGGAACCAACTCCGCTAATTGCAGCAGTTTTTGTGAGAGAATTGGATCTATGTTTTGCAGCAGCTTGTGCCTGGTTTTGCCGCTGCATTGAATCATTAGCACTGGAAGTCAAAGACATGGTGCCAGCAACACCAATGGCAGGAATTGATGTCACTGCAGACTTCTCCTTTTGGGATGAGACAAATCCACTAGTCACAACGCCTCCAAACTGAGGTCCCATTGAGCTGCTTGAGAATTCTCCAGATTTTGATGACAAGGGAGATTGAGGTAAACCTCCAGCAGAAATACGAGGACTTTGAACTAGTTTTCTCTTCTGGAATGTATCTTCCTTTCTAGAATTATTCTCAAGAGGTTGACCAAGACTATTACACGGAGTCTGGGGGAAACCAGCTCTCCCAAATTGCTGTGGCATTCTTTGCTGTAATCGTGACTGATCAATATGGGTTATTTCTGATTCTGCCATATGAATTCGACTGATATCTGTCTTGTCCAATCTCTCTGTCTCAACTGGTTCTTCCTTTAAACCGTATCTCATTCCTTGTTGTCCAGAAGTAAACGGCATTGACCCAACATCCTGATTTAGACCTCCTTCAAACATCTGCTGTGAGAACTTTTTCATACTATTACTAGTATACTGAATCCCTCTTGCAACTGGTTGCTGCTGCGTTGATGCAGTCTTCCAATGTGAATCTGGTCCATTGAAG